ATGATGGTAGCGAACATGGAGGTTCTTGCGATACAACGCCTGATGACTTCTTTGATTTTAATGAACCCGAACCCGAAACATCTAAACACGTTTTGTTTATGAATACCTCTCAACCTGCGACCGGAAAGGAAGCAGTGACAGTGAAAACATCAAAAATTGAGCTACAGCTATACAAATATCTTGATGACAAAAGGAGCGGAATAAATATGTTGAACGATTACCCAATAATAAAAAAAATATTTTTGAGGTATAATACTTGTTTACCTTCCTCTGCACCAGTGGAGCGATTATTTTCTTTTGCGTCAATAGTGAACAGTCCACGGCGAAATGCTCTCAGCGATTCGAGTTTCGAAAAATTGGTGATAATGAAAGCCAATAAAGTAACGCAATAAAATAACACTTTTCAGCTGGTATTTTTAGGATTCTCTTTTTATTTTGTTTTTCAAGCTATTCTTTAATATTAAAAACTGTTTTTGTAGAATAGTTATTTTGTTTATTTTGCTTTTGCACAACCCAAACTTAAATTTTAGCCAAATGTACTTTAAAAGTAGGTACTCGAAAATTCGGGTACTTGTACTCCGGGTACTGTACTCTGAGTACTTTTTAGCAAGTACAGTACTCGGTACTCTGTACTCGTTCCTCTATTATTACATGTACCCGATACCCGGTACTCGAGTACATTTTCTCAGTACCCGGCACAGCTCTGCCTATACTTTAATCAGCAAGTAATTACTTTCAACTTTACTCAGAGGTAAAAAGACTGGCCCTTAATTTCATATCCACTAAATTAAAGTATGGAACAATAGTGACCATTCTTTATATTTTTTAGGTGACAGAAACACTTGGCTTCTTGGTGATTCTGGATATCCACAGGAACCTTGGTTAATCACACCATTTGAGAATCCTCCACCAGAGACACCAGAAAGTTTATATAACCAGTCACATTCAAGGACTCGTAATTGTGTAGAACGCTGCATTGGAGTGCTAAAGGGGCGCTTTAGATGTTTGTTATTAGAAAGAAAAATGAGATACTCTCCTCTAAAGGTTGGAAATATTGTAATTGCTTGTGCTATTTTGCACAATATATGTATCAATGGGCAGTTACCAATGCACCTTAACATCCCACAATATGACGAACCAAATAGGCAACAAATTGATAATCCATTTTTACACCAAGAAGGGATCAATGCTAGAGCAAATTTAATAGATTTATATTTTAATTAACACTTTTAATTTTGATTTTTTTAAGCTATAAATAAAACAATATTAAATAAAACTTTTATTTAAAAACCTCAAAAATAAAATTTAAACCCAATAAAACAAATAAAAACAACTTCTAAATAATACAAACAACTTCACACTAAATAAATAAAATCAAGCAAAAACAACATAAAAATATCTAAAAATACAACAAAATATATAAAAAAATCAATGTCTATTTTTTTAAATTTTCTGCTATCGTTTTTAAAGATTGGGCGATGTCACCAATATTTTGGTCTATGTTCTTTAAAACATTTAAAGTCTCTTTAGTTATTTCCGACAGTTCTTGCGAGACCACTAAGGCTTTGTTAGGCCTCAACCTTTTTCTGCATTGGGATGGTCCTTGTAAGGCTCTCTTGTTGCCAACATGAATTTCATCGGGTGTTTGATTTTGTACATAATCGTGAAAGTTATTATTAATATTGTCTACTTCATTTACAACTACCTAAAATGAATATAAAATAAGCAAATTAAGAAGAAGTCACTCTATAAAGTATAATTTAAAACCACCATAATGTAACTGAATGCCATAGAAACCTAAGATATACAGTGTTGTATTTCAGAGATTATCAAATTATAGACAACAAGTGTAAACTGTACATAACCTCTAAATATAGAAAGAATATATTAACTAATATAAAAATATAATAAAACAGAATAATCAAAATTCTCTTCCCTAGGAAGAATAGACAGATCACATCAATGGCTTACCCAACAAACAAATTAAGTAGGTTAACTATTATGGTAGCGCTTAATCAGCTACATATTCAGCCAACAGGTTGGACAATAGAAGTTTAATTGCCTGTATAAGCCTCTTTTCATTAGTCTAAACAGCTAAAAAAGGAGAAGATAATCAGCCTCTAGCTGTTTAAAGCGCGCGTAATAAGTGCTTATTCAGCTTTTAAATAGCTTGTGAAGAGAAGATAAGCAGCCTATAGCTGTTTAAAGAGTGCCAGAGAAGTGCTTATTCAGCTTTTCAATAGCTTGCGTAGAGAAGATACACAGCCTATAGCTGTTTAAAGAATGTCAAAGAAGTGCTTCTTCAGCTTTTAAATAGCTTAAGTGTAGAAGATAATCAGCCTATAGCTGGTTAAAGTAGGCAAAAGAAGCACTTTTTCAACTTTTATACAGACCCATATGCAGCGTACTTATTTTTTCGTGCTCTTTCTCGTGTAATGAAAAAGTACTTCTTCCGAATTTGTACAACCATTTTCATCAGATCTTAATCAGCATTTTTTGTTTCATTTAAAAATAAATATTTTTTGTATCCTTTTTTTTTCCAACCTCTAATTTTCTTTCTTCTTATTCTTGTTCTTCCTTTTTTTTAGCAATATCCGCATCCTACTACAAACGCCCTCTTTATATTTCCATTTTTTTGTTTTTATCTCCTTGCAGGATTCGAACTGATGACACCACGTTCCGCCACACTGTTCTTCTTTTGCAACACGCGCCTTTACCACCTACTCTATCTAATGACCTGCCAAATTGCTTACATTTTATGGTATATAAAATAAATCTGAACATATACTGCTTAATAGCTGAACAATAGCTACTGGCCGCTACAGTACTAGTGTCTCCATAAAATTACATGTTGTTTGATTTACAGTGTGTGTTTTAGTTGGTTTTTATTATAATAATGAGTGAAAATAAGCCTGGTAAGTACTTACCTAATATTTATACTTAATTACTTAATCGTCTGACCTTCTACCCTTGCGGATATAAGTATGAATATTATAATATCCACATGTAAATACAATATACATATGCCGGTAAGCTAAGTAGTATAAATACCAAAGTTGAATTTTAGAAAATTCGGGAACAAATTTTAAAAATTATCCTACAAATTATCAAGAACATATTCCAGAACTTCAAATTAAAAACTTATATTTAAAATTCTGTCATATTATCAATAGGTATATTTTTTGGTTAAGTATTGAGGTAAAAATAAAAATAATTCAAATATGTACGTCAGGAATTAATTGCATACTTACTCTTTGGAGCAATGCGCTGTGGTGGTGATTTCGAATCCAGAGGTCGTGGGTTCAATTCTATTAAGAGGAAGAGATTTTTTTGTTTTTTTTTTATTGTTTTTTTTTGTTTTTTTTTTCTGTTTTATGGCTTTATTTAATTTAGTATATGCATGAGGTTTCAATTTTTTTTGACCAGAGACTTTTTCCGTTACTTACCCGATATTTTATTTATTAAATTGGCAAAAATCATAAATTCCATTCTTTGTACTAAAGGTGACCTGTGATTGGTGGATTATGAAATTTTCATCTTTTCAATAGGATAATTTAAATTGTGCCGTATAATAGATACCTACCTAAAATATACATGTTTTTTAACATGTGAGTGTAGAAAAAATTTCTATTATAGGCTAGATATAATAACAAGTGACAATAATGTATATATTTATCTAGGTGGCAATGCTATAATTGAGATATATAATTATATAATAAATATAATAATTCAATTACAGGACCCCATTTCAAAATTGTTGAGACTATTGAAGCTGGCAGGCCGATTCTTTCGGTTGTGCCATTTAAATGGATTCAAAATAAATATTTGTTTTGGCCGCCAAAAAATGTAAAAGAACACATAAACAATATTAATTCAACACCGGACAGTAACTGGTGCAAGATTATGTGTCGCATTAAAAGACCATATTTTCGAAGTCGTCAAGAAGCCAATAACGAGTTACTGGAAATGTCTGGAGGTTCAGCAACTTCATCTAGTTCAGAATACGGAATAGAGCCCACCAAAAGACTTAGCCAGACAAATTTTGAAAAATCATTTAAAAATAAAAGATTGATTTCCCTCTCTCAACCTTTTATTCAAGAGGAATGTATATCTGTTACCCCTGCTCCTCTAAATGAACAAAATTTTATTCCTAATACTACCGCTGTATCATTAAATCTAATAACATCACAAGATATTTTAGACGCGGAGTTTATAAATATTGGCCTGATGAGCAACCTGATAAGCAGTCTGATGAGCAACATATTGAGCGCCCTACAGAGCCTGCATTTGATGCCGAAAATTTTAAAGAACTTGTATTTGGACAAATTAATGAAATGCGGATGGAGCTGAAAGAGGCCAAGAATGAAATAATTAGTTGTTTCACTGACGTGATGGCAAGGACAGTTGCTGCAATCAAAACCGACTTTGATGCTAAATTGGCGGCCATACAGGTACAACAAGTTTATAGAGATCAACTCTACGATAATAATTTTCAATTTGCACCTGTTTCAACCCCAGATGAACTAATGCAGTTAGAACAAAATCTTCTAGATAAAAATTTTGAAAAACAAGTGGTGAGATACCCCTTTTTTATTTTAATCGAATACATTTACATTAAATTTTTAGTCTTAGATTGATCATTTTAAGAAAATTATTGGGGATATTCCGGATACTAGTGGAGGTCTGGATACATGTTAGGGGGCGTCCATTAATTACGTGAGGTATTTTTGAGGATTTTTTGACTCCCCCTCCCCCCCTGGTGAGATTTGGTAAGATTTTCCTTAACTCCCTCCCCCCCTTCCCTAATCTCACGTGAGATTTTTCAAATTTTGTGTTTTTGGTGTAAATGTGTTGGATTATTAAAAAAAAACAAAAACACAATATGTTCTACTACTTTTATTTAAGACTAGCAAAGACTAGTGTTTGAGAGTGTTGCTATTATTTAAAATCACATTAATAAAATTAAATAATAAATACTTAAATTGAACTTGATAAAAAATCTATTCTAATTCAGTCCACGGAGACTCGTGCACGGCCTCAAGAGTGATTACTGGAACCAACATATCCAAGTGATTTTCAATAAAATCATCTGCTCCTTCAACTTCACTCTGATTTAGCCACTCTAAACCGTTGTCGCTTGCACACAGAAGCTCAGCAGCTCGTCTTGTGATAATCCGCGAGGGTCGCAATTTGCGTGTTTGCACAGCTCGTGCGTGATGGGCCGCACGTCGATGTTCTGCGACTTTTGTGGTGGATGCAAAATAGATACCGCATGTACTGCAGCATCTCTTTTCTATATTCTCGCGTAAACTTGGGCAATAGAGGTCGTAAGGCATGCTCATGAAGGCGTGCAACGGTTGAATCGGTAGGCAGTGGCGAATTAGAAATGGCGCAAATGATTTATTGTCATGCTCTTGAGGATCCGGGATCGTCGGATGTCCATTAACTTGAGTGATAGGATATGGGGGTGACAAAAAACGATCGTGTAGTACTAAATGTAAAGAACTTCGACGTGGGCTGCAGCACTGTCGATCATCGCATTTCACAACCTAAGACAATAATTATTTTTTACCCTTAATAAAAATACATTTATTGCATGCATGCTTGTTAAAATATTCCACAAAAATGCTAAAAAGAAAATACCTGAAGTAAATATTGACTCTCTCTAACATGCTCGGTGTACCAATCTTCAGTTGGAAGATCCGGTACATTAAAAGTGTCGTTGTTTGGGTCGATGTAATTAGCAATTACGTCGTGTCCATCAATGCACACTGCGGACCATATTTCACCTAAAATTTCTCCTGCTTTTTTGAAATTATCTTTTTCTAAGTCATCATCAATTGTTTTGCCATTGGAGTCAAGATGTGTTCCAAAAGAGTCATGAGGAAGAACAACACCAGTTAGTTCTCGGCTAAGTGGAGCCATGCGTCTCTCTACTCTGTTGAAGGCGCTTCTGCCAGGGGCATTAGTCACAATAAATATTGCGTCTAGATCATACTTTTTAAAATGCTCTATGGCATGGGCGATTACTTTTCGATATCGCGGATTCTCGTCGGGACCACCGTCACTTGAAATGATTAGGACAGGTTTGACTTTACCGTCTTCGTTCTTCATGATTTTGAGAAAAGGTTCAAGAGTTAAGAGAGTGTCTAAGTCTTGAGCGTGACTAGTTGCAGTGGAAGACGAGTGCTTACCACTTCGGATTGCTATGTATGTTGGTCCACTGTATGAGACGGCTTCTGGCCGCCCCATCTCATTGGGTTTCACTTCACACAAAGCATAGACACTCGGAATCAATTTATGCCTTGCAGCAATTATAAAATCGTGATCTGGTAACGACACTTTATATTCAACATGCATTAGCAAAGGGGCTTGTTTGTTTGCCGCTGTCAGTCCTATGGGAACACGAGCTTTGTCATCTTGAGATAAAAAAGATACAGAGTCAGGGCCAAGTATTGAGGCTACAGTTTCTAGTGACCTTATGGAAGCCACAGAAAAGTACTGGTCTTGGTGCGCTTTATGATGGTCTGCTTCAGGACGACTCAACTTCACCGGAACAGTCACTACATGGCGCTTAGCCTCCCTCGTATCTGCTCGCCTAGGCAACAGTCGAATATAAGTAGCACTTGGTGAAATGTTGAATCCCAGCTCTATTAGTTTTTCAGTTAATTCTGAAAGACTGTGGACTGTACGAACAATTTCACAGCGGCGCCGTTCCTCAGCAGACGCACCAAACATAGCTAAATCAGTAATTGTTTTTAGCAATCCAGGCTGCTCTTCCTCTAAGCGTGGACGTCCAGAGCTAACTCGAGGTGTTAACGATTTTGCCGCTTCAGGATTTTTAGAACACAATTCAATCATTTTCTGTTTTTTATTTTTTCTGTGCTTTATCGAGTACACTCTCTGTTTCTCCTTATGTTTGAGTTTCTTTTCTAAATCATCAATTTCTTGCCGCAACTTTCGTACTTTCTCATGTTCAGTGCCGTCAGCAACAAGAGATCCTTTGCGTCTTTCCGTCAAGTCTAGCTCCAATCGTCGTTTATCAATTTCTTTTTTGATAGCATCTTGCGCTGGAGTAGGACGTACAGTGGATAGTGTGGAACTTGACGTAACTTCATCCTCATCATCGCTAATCACTAGAGACTGTGTTTTTCGTTTTATAGCACCTGTAGAATAAAGAAAAAATGAAGAGAATATCGCACATACAAAGAAGAGTGAGTACTAACCTGCCGGTTGAGGTTCATTGTCAAAATCTTGATCCCTTAGCTGCTGATATGAGTAATCTCATTTTGAGTCGCAGATTTCTCGTCTTGAACTTTCTCAACGCTAATCTCAGTTAGACTTGCACATTCTAGGTTTGAAGCACTTCTTAAAGCGTTCGTTTCAACTTGAGTTGGAACACTATCAGAGGTCCTAGTGTTTCCCTGGAATCAAAATATCGCTATGAAGACTCAAGACTTGCAAATTAAAGACCCTCAGAATAAAATAATACATTTTTTTTTATTTAAAAAATTAAAAAATATTGAATCATGTCAAAACAGAAATCACCTCATTGATACATTCTAACTGTATTTTTGGCATATCTCAATCAAAAATTTTGTTCCTTGTTCCTACCTTTTTTTTTTCTTATGCCGAATGATTTTTTAAATTGAAATTTATAAAAAAATGACACCTATTTAACTATCTGAAGTATTCCTTTCCCGCATCGCAATTTTGGAATGTATTGCACATAAAATTAAATTTAAAATATTAATAAAGGCAGTTAACCTACCTTAGAGAGGAATGCTAAAGTATTTCGGGCCTTTCTTTCCGCTGCTTCTCTTAGAAGCTGATCGATCTCACGTTGAACGTGCTGAACCAAATCTTCTTTCTTCGGGAATTTTTGTTTTGCTATGTTCCATAACTTCACCACTTCTTCCTGACAACACTTTTTTGTCTTGTAGACGTGTCTTTTATTATAAGCATTATAATATTCTTGAAAGCTCATCTTTAATTATTAAAAACGTTGCTTGAATAGTTTAATAATTTATTTACGGACATAAACAAAGCAGGTTAGAATCTGTCTGTGCGTCGCTGTTACTCGGCTCTTTACGCAGCGACGTTCGGCGAGTCACGCGTGTCGATCTATCGATACGGCCAGTCGATAGCGCTTAAACAATCGAAAGGCTACTGGACTGCTCAGGGTTCGAATGCATACGATAAACATAATTATAAGATTTTTCCATATTTTATTATAGAAATACTTTTACTATAATTTAACTTTACTTTCACGCAATTTTACACCATTTTCTACAAGAAAAAAAATTATGTGAGATTTACGAAAACCCCCCTCCCCCCCCCCCCAAGTGAGATTTAGAAAGATTTAGTTTTACCCCCTCCCCCCCTAGAACACCTCACGTAATTAATGGACGCCCCCTTATATAATCATTGACAAATTTTTTGATAAACAATTCATGGTTCAATGTTCTTGGACAGGAGGTAGCAGAAGCGATACTCTGAAATGTTCCATCCGAAATTGCAAAAACATATTAAATGTTTTTTTTACAATAATCCGAAGTTCAAACAAAAATTTTTCAGAAATTCTATTAAAGAAATTCTTCGTAGGAATTACTAAAAATGCAAAAAAGCGCAGCATGACTGGTGGAATTCGCCAGTCATCTTTTCATCGGCGCAATGAGTTTGGTACTCAAAAGGAAGGTAATTTTGGGATTACCATCAACTTACCTATATCATGATTTTTAACTTTTGTTTTTATAGATTTGGATGATAATATTCATCATCAACAAGAACAGGAAGAAATCTCTGAAGAAAGCTCAGAAACAGATTAAACTTTTATTTTTTATTTACTTTCATTTCACAACTTATTTCATTTACAAATTAGTTACAGTTTGTTTTTTTATTGTATGTATAAGTGGAATAAATACACTTTTATTTTCTTTGTAATTTATAGCCACCATTTTACAAAAAATGTTTTCGATTGTGTATGTTTTTACGTTATTTAAATTTGAAATACTTCCAACATAAATTTGTAAATTTGATGAACGTATAGGATTTTTAAAAAAATCATCTTTCTTTTTAACAGATTTCCCGTGTAATATTATCTTCTCATTAACTTCTGATGCAGCAGTCATTTGAACAATTTGATTGTCAAGTGTCAAAAACCAAGAATTTTTGAAAACATTACTCAAACAAAAATCGCTGGAAATAGAACATTCAACAAAATTGTTACGTCCTTTTTTAATTTTAGGTCGAGAAACTTTCTTATTTTTATCACTGCTTAGAAGTAAATTTCTTTCAGCAATTCTATTAGCAATTTGTTGCAAATTGTTGTGCCCTTGGCGTAATAATTTTTTGAGTTGAAATAACACATTTTCAAATGGATACGATGATATTGTGTACAATGATCCAAATTTAGTCACGTCATTGACAATATGTTCTAAATTATGAATATTGCTGGTAATATACTCCAAACCATAAATAGTCTTAAAATCTTCAATGTACCTCTCAAAAAGCAGTTGAGCAACATTAAGATTTTCAGCATATATATCAGAAGAACATATTTTGACAGCTACAAAAAGAAGCAAAAAGTGGTTGTAAACATCAGTTGCTAAAACATCTTTTAAAACGACAATTCCAACATAATTAAGAAAATTCCGCAACTCCACTCCTTTCCAGAACGCTAAGCAATCCATTGCCCTCATAGAACGATGTATTTCAGATGGAAGTTTCACAGATAATAACGCACGTGAGATCTTTTCGATATCTCGGGCACACAGCTTGCTCGAGAAACCCAAAGTTCCATCCCTCTAACCCATTAGGCATCGTTTCATTACACCTAGTTCCAAAAGATGTAATTCATCTGCTACGACGAAATCTTGAATCATATCAATGCCAGGAATTTCTAGAGTGGTTGATTCCTGTCCTTTATGGTGTGTACCATATCCTTTTCTTCGAAATGTTTCATCCGTCCGAAGGGGGCGATTTATATCAGGAAACACAACAGTTCGAGAAATGTAAGAATATTCGCCTTCTGTGGTACATTTAAGACATCTATTGATTCCATTGAAATTAACAACACCTGTAAATAAAAGGATTGAATACCCTTAATATTTTTTAATTTGAGGTTAACCTTTAACAAAGGCGCGGGCTGGCGAATCGCATATGAAACATCTGATTTTTATATTAATTAAATGCCCATTTACATGGAGACCATTCGCATAAAGCCGTTTAACGTCCTCAACAAAAGGTCCCAAAAATTGTTTAACATCCAGGTTTCTTATTTCCATAAAAAATGCCAATAGCCATTGGTTGAACATTTGGCATTTCATGAATGTTGCACAAAATTGGCCAAAATTGACGCTTGGAACTTTTATGTATTGGCAAACCATCGATATTTACATTGATATGAATAAAAATATCTTCACGTAAATCTTTAAAATTGTTTTTAAGGCATATTTCAAGACCTTGATGCCAATATTCTCCACCTTTTAATAATTTACAAAACTGTTTTGTGTTCTTTGGGGTTCTTAATAAGGTTCTTGAATCGAGAGGTAAATTAGAATCATACTGTTTGTTAATTATCAGTAACAGATCATTCAAAGCTGTATCGGTAATGTTATGTTTAATTGCCCATTTTCGTAGTGGTTCGTTGGAACATAAATTTTGGTAGGTAGTATTATTCTCTCGTTCGAAAATTTCTGCATCACCATCATTATTAGCATCATTGTCAATAGACTCATCATCGTTCTCAGCATTCACTGATATTGTATCCGTATTGTAAAGAGAATTTGATAAACCACTTAAATCTATTTGAAAAATAAATGTCAACTTAACGAAACATAAATAAATTATATATTATAATACCTGAATGTGCTTCATGACTTGATGAAGGTGTTGCGTTATCCATGGAATACAATGTTTTTAAATACTCTTCGCAATTTTCACGATTTTTCTTTAATCTGCGGTAATAGTGACCAGATTTTTTTATCTTTTTAAACTTTTTTATTACTTTAAGATCCATCTTATTTATGTTTTTAATATTGCTCTTACAACTGTTTATGTCTAAATGTCTCTTTGGTCTTACGCAATAAGGAACGTGAGACTTTCAAAATAATCGTTAGAAAGAGAACAACATTGTACACAAAATGGGGTTTTTGACAGCCAATATTTTAGTATTTCATCTAAAAAAAAAGATATTGGTGTATATGTACCACTATTCAGTTTTTACCATGTATGGCTGAAAAAAGTATTATTTCATCGATAATAGATATACTTCATTATTCAGTAAATTTAAATTAAAAAAAACTACTGAACAGTGGTTATATAACAACCGAATTATCCCTTCCTCAGCTTGTTTCATACTTCTGAAGAAGCGATATATAAGTAAACTGATTTAACGCTTAATCAAATCAATGGGCAACTAATTTTAAACTACTGAACAATATAAAAAAATAAGCTGTAACAGCACTTTTTCAGCCTAATATTCAGCGAATGTCTAATGGCTGATTAGTGCTGTACATTAGGACTGCAACAAAGCTTCTTCAGCCTTATGTTCAAATTATACCAACGACCTACATAAAGGTATACAATTTGACTTAAGTAGTGCTATTATAGCCTATTATGTAGCGTATTTCTAATGGCTGATTAGTGGTGTACTTTAGGACTGCAACAGAGCTTCTTCAGCATTATGTTCAGCCAATACCAACAAGCTGAATTAACTTAAGTAGTGCTTTTCCAGCTTATTATGCAGCTAACATTAATTAGCGCTACAAGGGTTTACATATAAGCAGAAGATGCTTTTATGCAACCTATTCATCAGCTAGTTGGCTTATTCAGACTTCGCCACTACTATACAGCTATATATCAGCTTACTTGCTGCATAAATCAATGTAACCAGCTTTAGATGTTACTTGGGTAGTGCACACAGGTGTTAAGTTCAATTTTGGGGCAAATTGTTTTAAATGCATGTACCTACTTATATTTGTATAACTAATTTATCTTTATTTCGCTTTATTATGTAATTAAAAACAACGAAGAAGTGTTGAAAATATTTGCTAGATACACTTTATGTGAAATAACAGAGTTATAGTTTCAAAACTTAAATTGTGAAATATAAGCACATGTGTGCACTAAACCATCGAGATAATGAACTCAGAATTATCTTATTCACTGACTGTAAGGTCTGGAGTTAAAAGTTTGTGAACTTTTCATGGTATTTTAATTCTTAAGTTACATTACGAACATTTATAGATAAACCTAAACCTCCCTTGCCGCACTACACTTCCGAGGTAAGATTTTCATTTCGTACATGCCGAATTGGCGAACGTAAACCTTAATGCCTTGCTTGCAAAACGTCGTATCCTCAATAAGCACAATTGTTCAGGGCACACAAAAATACTTCTGTGGCTTACAACTTTTTACACAGCAAATAATGCATTATGTTGATACATTTTGTGTTGGGGCGTAAAATAAAATTTCGAAACAACTTTGTTTTGCGATTATTTGCAACTATGTGCAGGTTTACACAGGCTTCGATTGGCGCTAAAATCGAATTTGTGAAAAATAATAAACTTTATTTACCTTAGAAAACAAACATTTTTTTGGCTTGTCAATAAAATTGCAAAAAAATACATATCAAAAAATTACAAAATAGTTTAAAATTATTGAACAATTAAATCAAAATCAATTCCAAATCATTCGTCTATACTATATAAGCAATTTTCGGATAAAAATATTTTTAAATTTATTTATTGGTAAATTCTGAATAAGTAGAGGTAGCATATTACACAGCTCAACATCACATTTCTTTGTTCTGTTAAGTATCTATTGTATATATATATTAAATTTTGTGGGTTACAATGTTTTGCACTTAAGCCATCGATAAGTAAATATTCTATATTTCAACTTCTTAAGTTACGGCAGTTATAAATTAAGCCTAAGTACTTAGGCATGTAATTAAAGACCAATCTTATTATTCAGCCTTTAACT